TGTTTCCTCTGGTTTTGAGCCTGTTGTTGCATACCTCTCTGGAAGCATACAGGTAAACGGCAGTAAGTCATTCCATCAAGTCGCTGAACACTGAACCTGCCTTATGGGCATCAGTCAGCAAACAGTCTCCTAAGGAGAAGAGAGGAAAGGGAACAGTTTACCTTGACCAGCGGGTGTATTTCTGTAACCAATGACCCAAACCCTCAGTTTTCCCAACAAGGCCCCAAAACTGTGCACCCTATGGAAGCTTCCTCAGGTTTTCCCAAAGTTTAGAAACACATGATAGGACCTGAGTTTACAGTGCCCTTTATGGACCCTCAACCCTGCACCTCTGGGTGCAGGATAGACTGACAAGGGTGGGAGGGAGCCCTCTAAGACAGGGCTGTGATCAGTCTCATACAGGGCTCACCCTCAAATCCCATTTCCTCCTTCTGCTCTGACACCCGCACCACCCATTCCTCATCCTGTCTCTCTCTAACACCCTGATCCGCCCACCCCTCAGTCTCCACCTGTCTGGAGTTGAAAGCCCAGAACTGGAAGCTTTACCCACTTGGTTCTACTGAAAGGCAACATCTCTCCCACTCCTGGTGGGCAGGAAGCCAGAAATAGCAGGACAAATGCATCCTAGCTTCCTAAGCAGTTTGTTCCTTGTATGGTTTTCCTTGTGCTCATCATGTGTTCCTGTATGTTCCCCATGTGGTCCCATGTTCTCGAGTGTTCCTCCGTGACCCCATATGTTCCTGCATGTTTCCATGTGCCCTCCCCTTTGCTCCATGTGTCCCCATAAGTTCCCCTGTGTTCTCCGTGTGTCCCCATAAGTTTCCCCTGTGTTCTCCATAAGTTCCCCTGTGTTCTCCATGTGTTCCCATAAGTTTCCCTATGTCCCCACGTACTTCTGTATGTTGGCATGTGCCCCTCATGTCTCCCTAATGTTCCCTGTGTGTTCCCATCTATACTACACACACACGTTCCCTGTGTGTTCTTGTGTGTTCCTCATGGGTCTGGTGTCAGCTGTGGTGGACTTCAGTCTGATGAAGACACAAACCACTTGAGGGAACAAAGAGGGCTCTCCATCGTACTGGTCCAGATGGAGAAAAGAAGAATTATAAGGGGTGGTCTCACCACTCCTAAAAACTTTTCCAACTTTTTAGAAGTGGTGAAACTTAATTATAAAAGTACCTAAAATTCTCTGCTATTTGCTTGACTTCTCTTCCAAGTAGAACAGCATTAATATGGCTTGTAGGAACACACAGGGGAATTTACAAAGGAAAACAAGAATGATCTGTTAGGGTTGAATTTCAGCACCATGGTGCTGTGGGATAAAGCAAGGTCAGTCTGAACCACAAGGTCGGCAGTTCAAAGCCACCAGCCGCTCTTTGGAAACCTATGCAGAGTCAGTAGGAGTCAGAACCTACCCAATGGCACTTCACAAGAACATTAATTCTTAAGAGCCTTTATTTTGCAAACTACTTACACACTTTGGAGCAGTTTTCTGGCATAAAAATGCCAAAGTTACTTTAATTTTCTCATATTAGTAGGGGACCTGTGCAGGTAGTTGATGGGCCTTCCGTCTCTAGGCCCCTGGGAGCAGTGTTGCTGAGTGGACATTGCTGGTGAGCATGGCCCATGGTCTATTAAACACTTTCCTTCTCTCGGTTCACGCTGCCTGTGCTCCTGGGACCTAGAATCATGTTCCCAAAATCACTTGCATCACTTCTGTTAGCTTGTATACTTCTGCCAGGACTAAAATGTCACATTTCCTTTTGTGAGCAAATTATATTTCATGCTGTTGGAGTGTCAAAAATATTTAAGAGTCTCTTAGTGGCACGTGTGCTCCAGAGCTGAAAAATGTCAGTCCTTAAAGAGATTATTGTGTTGTGCTGTGATTGACTGCTCATAGCGTTTGTGGATGTTTATCTCTGATTTGTTTTCTGTTTCTCCTCTCTAGTGGGACCTCGTGTGTGATAATGCCTGGAAGGTCCACATTGCTAAGTTCTCCTTACTGGTTGGATTAATCTTTGGCTACCTAATAACCGGATGCATCGCTGACTGGTGAGTACTGACTGGTATATATTGCGTAACCTCGGGGACCAGGGCTCCCTGGCTGGCTGAAGGGCAGTGGTCCTCGTTAGCTGGCTAAGGGACTGGGCCCTAGCCCTGCTTTGGGTGTCAGAGTGGAAAACTGAAGCTGAGAATGCAGAGCTAGAAGAATTTGGTTAAGACATGAAATATACTATTTAGAAGTGAGAATTTAAATTCAGTGCCATTTCTAGCTGCTGGAATCTGGACAGAGTTCCCCACAGCCCCATCTATTACTGATAATCAGTGTTTAGTCAGAATGGACTGGAGGGCTAGGTGCAGGGCTCTTGAGCTGGGCTGGGGAGCAAATGCAGAGTGCGAGTGAAGAGGCAATTCCTGCCCTTCAGGGGAGCATGGGGGAGGAGGAGCTAAAGACATCTTCAGCCCCTGAAGGGAAATACTGAACAGCGGAGTGGGCCAGGAAATGGGTCTGAAAGGTCCATGGACTGGGATCTTGAAAGAGGATGACCTCTGATTAATGTTCATTGTAGATGGGAAGATGGTGGTTTGAGCTGAGAATACAATGAGCTATTTCCATCAGAGAGGAGATCGCAATGCTAGAGCAAGTGTGTGGTACAGGATGGAGGGGTGAAATTGGGGGATGGGGAGGGTAACAACAATAATAATGGCAGTGTGCGCAAGGGGCACTGTGCTGAGGTTCTACACGTGTTAAAATAGTCCATGCTCACAACAAGAACTCTGTACTATGGCTGAAAAGTCAAGGCACAGAAGGCTACGTCAAATCCTCAAGTTTAAGATTTAAAATTAAACCACATAACATGGTCCCAGAGCCTCCTCTTAACCAGTGTGACATAATAATTTTATAAACGGCCCCTGGGGATTGCCTTCTGTGGTCAAGAGTAGTGATGGAGAGCTTGTCTGGGCAGCGAGTGGAATGGGACTGCAGAAGGAGAAAGTGTGGTGTAGCTGGGCCCTCTCCATAGATTATTTTATTGTTAAAGGAATGTTTTTGTGAATTAGGATCTCTTGGGCCCAGTGTCATCATAAAAGAGAAGCAAAGCCATCCCCTTTGTCTTGTAGTTTTGTGGTGCCTTCTAGGCCCGCTGACTGAAGAGCTGCAGGTAACCTGGGGCAGACCAGCAGAGGGAACCAGGGGGAGTTTTAGACCATTTTCAAGTTAAGGAAATTTCTCTTCAAACGTTTGTGTACGTTAGGGAATTCCTTGCGCTAACACTGTGAGATGACTTCTGTGAGTTGGCAATTTGCTCAACCATCATTTGTAAGACTTCTCTGTAGTAACAGAGAAGTTTTCATTGGTCAGTGGAGGACAGACCTTGGCTGTGGGTTCTGTGTGGGGGGCTGTAGGGTTGTTTTATAACCAAATACTTGAGTGTGTAGGTCTTCGGGTTGAGTTTTAGTGGTCTAACCACCATTCTAGTCCCAATGGTTAATCAGCAGAACATTTGTTTCTCAGAAATCTGCATTGAAATAGGTTAGATTATTCCTAAATTCAAAAATTAGGTCCTTATTGAAAAAAAAAAAAATCCATGATTCTATAGGGAGAGAAGATAGGGATTTGCATTAATGAATCAGATCGTTTACGACAATTTTAAATCTTTAAAAGTTGTTTCTTCAGTATCTCACTGTTTTTTGTATTTGTTGTTGTTTTTTAAAAACTTTCTGTTCTGATTTGGGTGAAATTTTACAGAGCAAATTGATTTTCAACTGAACAGTTCATACACATTTTGTTTGTTGCATTGATCGCAATTTCAAAAACGTGACAGAAGTCTCCCTAACTCTTCCCTGTGTTAACAATATCCATTTGTTCATCCTTCTTCCCTGTTCCTTCCTGCCTTCTGAGTCCTTCGTAAGCACTGCCCTTTGGGTCTCTGATGGCTGGATGGTTTTAAGGGGCACAAGCTCCCTAGTCTGTTGTTGGTTGAAAGTCCAGGGGAGTTAGTTTAGCCCCGGGCTTGAGGGTATCTAGGAGGATAGTGTCAGAAGTCCTGCCAGTAAGCTTGGTCTTGTTTATGATTTTGAGTTGTGTTTTACATCTTCTCTCATCCTGTCTGTGACCTCTTATCATGATCCCTTTCAGAGTAGCTAGCCATGGTAGCTGGGCACCATCTAGTTCTTCTGGTCTCGGGTCATGGAGACATGTTCACATTGTTTTTTAAACTATGTTTTAAAACACTTCTTGCATATATGTGTTGTTTACCAATGCTTATCATACACAAAACTTGGGGATAAGAGACAAAGGAGTTTGAGGTCTTACTTTACAAGTAACAAGAAGGCCGACATTGCATATCTACTTCTTGAATCGTTTTCCCCAAAGCTCCATTGTGGTGGGTGAAGGTTAGGTACTCCAGGAAGTCAAAAACAGGTTGCTTTACAAAAACAGGTTGCTATACCAAAAAAAAAGAAATTGTTTCAGTCATTAAAAACTCCCAACAACAATTAAAAAACCTCTGGGCCTTGAAGGTTTTACTGGTGAAGTCTACCAAACACTCAGAAAAGAGCTGATACCAATTCTACTGAAACTGTTCCAAAATATAGAAAATAATATAAAACTGCCAAATTAATTTTATGAAAAAACATAATCCTGATGTCAAAACCAAGCAAAGACAGCACTAAAAAGACCAATATCACACATGAACACAGATACAAAAATTCTCTACAAAATCCTATCCAACAGAATGTAACAACATATAAAAAAATAATTTTGACAAATGCATGAATCATTGAACAATATCATTAATACCGCATGCAAGTAAAAGTCCACTGAAGATCATTCAAAAACTACTACAGGCATACACCAAAGGGGAACTGTCAGAAATTCAAGCCAGATTTAGAAGAGGGCATGGAACAAAGGGCTATCACTGCTGACATCAGATGTATCTTGGCTAAAAGCAGAGAATACCAGAAAGATGTTTATTTGTGTTTTATTGACTATGCAAAGGCTTTCAACTGTGTGTATCATTCCAAACTATGGATAACATTGCAAAGGATGAATATTCCTGAACATTTAACTGTGCTCATGCAGAACCTGAGCAAGAGACAGTCTCTCAAACAGAACAAAGGGACACTAAATGGCTTAAAATCAGGAAGGGTACATGTCAGGAATGAATCCTTTCACTGTACTTACTCAATCTGTATGTTGAGCAAATAATCCAAGAAGCTGGATTATATGAAGAAGAATGTGGCATCAGGATTGGAAGAAGACTCATTAACAATCTGCAATATGCAGCTGACACAACTTTGCTTGCTAAAAGCAAAGAGAACTGGAAATACTGATGAAGACCAAAGACTTCAGTATGGATTGTACCTCAATGAAAAGAAAATAAAAATCCTCAGGACTGGACCAATAAATAACATCATGATAAATGGAGAAAAGATTTGAAGCTGTCAAGGACTTGAATTTGCTTGGATCCCCAATCAATGCTCACGAACCAGCAGTGAAGACATCAAATGATTTTTGACTTTGCATTATGCAAATCTGTTGCAAAAAAAAAAAACACAAAACACACACTTCTTTAAAGTGTTGAAGTCAATGTGAGTACAGAAATGTACCTAACTCAGTCACCTCATCTGTCTGTGAAAGTTGGACAATGAATAAGGAGTTGATGTATTTGAATTATGGTGTTGGCAAAGAATACTGAAAGTACCATGGACTGTCAGAACAAGCAAACTTGTCTTGAATGAAGTATAGCCAGAATACTCCTTAGAAGTAAGGATGGAGACTTGGTCTCTTGTACTTTGGACATAATATCAGGTGGAACCCATCCCTGAAGGTGGACATCATGCTTAGTAAAATGGAGGGTCAGTGAAAAAGAGACAGAACCTCCAACAAGACTGATTGACAAAGTGGCAGCTACGGTGGGCTCAAACACAGCAACAATTGTATGGATTGTGCAGTGTTTTGTTCTATTGTGCACAGGGTTACTGTGAGTTGGAATTGACTTGATAGCACCTAACAGTAACAACAGTCTTTCTGTCCATGAACATGGTATGTTCAGTTTTTGTAGTTCTCTTCTGATTTCTTGTAGTCGTGTTTTGTAGTTTTGTTTGTGTAGATCTTTTGTTTCTCTGGTTAGATTTATTCTTAAGTATTTCATCTTTTGGATTCCTGGTGTGGCGCTGTAAGATCAGCACTGGACTGTGAACCACAAGGTCAGTTCAAACCCATCACCTGCTCCTCAGGAACCATATATACAGGGTTGCTATGAGTAGGAACCAACTCAATGGCACTTAATAACAACAACATTTAATCTTTTGGGTGGGTATTGTTTTCCTGATTTCCTTTTCAAAACTCTCTGTATTCTTGTGAAGAAATCCAAGTGATTTTTGAATGTTGATCTTGTACCCTGCCACTTTGTCAAATCTGTCAGTGAGTTCCAATCATTGTCTTGTTGAGTCTTTGGGATAGTCTAAGTATAGGATCACATCATCTGCAAATAGAAGGGGCTTTACTTCTTCTTTGCCAATTTATATGCCTTTAATTTCCACTTTGTGCCTTATAGCTCTGGCTAAGACTTCTAGCACAATATTGAATTGTGGTCTTTGTTGTTAGTTGCCGTCAAGTCAGTTCTGACTCATAGTGACTCAGTATCCCTTTTCTGAGGAGCGACTGGTGGGTTTGAACCACCAGCCTTGCAGCTCAAACTGACCTTGTGGTCCGGCACATTATCCTGCCACACCACACCAGGATTCCAATATTGAATAGGAGTGGTGATAAAGGCATCCTTGTCTGGTTCTTGTTCACAAGAGGAGTACTATCAGTTTCTGTGGAGAGTGATGTTG